TAATTTTAAACACGCAGGCTAAGGGTTATCCTAATTCTAAATTGGGAAACAAACTACATTATTCAAAATTTAAATGGATTAATTAACTTTAAATCAAAAGAAATAAACCAATAGGGTTTTTTGAACTCAAATACCCAAACCCGAGTTTTGGGGACTCACTGCGCACGACCACATGAAGTCTGCGTGCCTCTGCACCCGCCGCAATTAAACCACCACGCGCCGCCGTTGCTCGCCGTTGCGGATTGACTAGAATTCTCTGCAAAACATTTTGCACCCTCAGATATGTTATAGATCTGGTGGTACCACGTTGAAACACACCTGGGAACGCGAAGTCACGCTTGGCCGTCGCCACGAGTTTCTTCTTCTCCGGTCCCACCGCTACGTGCAGCATCAATTTCTCATTCTTTTCTTCTTCTTCTTCTTCCTCTCCCCTATCTCAGCTGTCGATGGTGCTCCGACAACGGCGGTTTGCCTCGGGTTGGCCGTTTTCAGCCGAATTCGGCCACACTCGCATTGGTTCCTGTGATAAAACAACCCTACGGCCCTCGGGGGGCCGAAAATTTACGGAAAACCGAAGCTTACCGGCGGCGGTGCTCTCGGGTGCGGCGGCTCTCCGGTGAAGTTCGTGTTTTGGTGATTCGGCTCCGATCAACCTGTAGAGAAAAGAATAGTGATCACGGTGATATAAAGATTGCATTAAACGGAGGCCGGGAAGGGCCTCATCAGAGGCAAAAACCGAGAAGGGGCGCGGCGGCGGCGCTGGTTTTCGGCCGTGTTTTCCGACCGTTTGGCCGGAATTTTGGCTCCGATTTGGCCACTGGGGAAATCAGCGTGGAAAAACGAGTCGAGGGTATGAAATTTACCTCGATCGGCGGTCGTAAATCCCTCCGGTGCGGCGGGGGGTGGCGGCGGCCGACTTCTGGTTCGTCTTCTCCGGCGAGCGGCAGGCGGCTAGGGTTTGTGGTCTGGTGTGGGGGTTCTATTTATAACCCTTTGCCCTTTTGATCTCAGCCGTCCATTTTGATTTAATCTGGGCCGTCCGTTTTTTATTAAATATGGGCCGTCTGTGCGATTTAATCTAGGTCGTCCGATCGCACGCTTGATATGAGCCGTCCGATCGCGCCTACGTGGATCGCCAACGTGGCCCTTTTCGGAAAGACGTGGTCTTGCCATGTGGCAGGTCCCGGTTGGCCGGGCCTGCTGACGTGGCTGCCAACGTAGCCCTTTTTTTTTTTTTTTTTTTTCGGGCGCTACATTATGTGACAAAAATAAAAATTTTATATTATAAGTTATGAACAAAAAATGATGATAATTTTTTTTTAATTTTATTAAAATATTATATTGTATTCTTATATTATTGATTTGTTAAGAGTTTTTGTTATGCTTTATTGAGTTTTTTATTTTATTAAAAATTATTTTTGATTTGTTGCTAACTCTTCTATGTTTCTAAAAGTATTGAATTTTTACTTTAATATTTTGAATATAATTTACTGTCTATTAAATTATAAAAATATATTTTTAGAAAGTTAGATCATTTAAAAAAAATAATTTAGACTGAACTAAACTGATTTATTTTAGTTTAATTTAATTTTTACAGTAAAATAATTTACTTTGATTTAATATTTTACACAAATTACATTTATTAATGTTTTAGAGTTTATGGACAAATATCTAAGTATAAATTAGGCCAAATTAATTCATTTAAATCCCTAATTGATATTTTATATTATAACAGTATTTAAGAAAAAATATTGTATAACAAGATTCATAAATTATATTGAAACTACGCACTTGTATATAAAAATATTGATGTATTGGTATTTACTTATAAATAAAAATAATTTCATTTTAGAAAATAAGAAAGTGCAAAAATAGCCATTTATTTTCTTGAATACATGTTTTGTTTTCTAAAATAATACTAAGAAAAGATATATTTTTTAATATAAAATATACTTTTGAGGGGTTGAGGAGGGTATAAAGGTAATTCGAGTAAGGTGTATGATAGATATGTTTTTATTTCTAACCATCAGACATTTATGCATAAATATTTAATTATTTATAACAAATATTCCTTTGTTTTTATTTTCCCGGGATCCAAACAGTATATAATTTATTAACTGGTTAAGAACCGCCGTGTGGTTTCTCATGCAGGGCACCATTAGTTAAAGAAAACAGATACGACAGATTCCTTTGTCAAGTTCTCTCTCTCTCTCTCTCTCTCTCTCTCTCTCTCACCACTAATCCCTTCCTCGTCTTGGAAAATTCGGCAAATGTTTTGATTCACCCCAATTTCTCACTCTTCTTTCTTCACACCTCAAATCTGGTCCTCTTCTTCCCCCTTCTCTCTCGCTCTACCTCTGCCAACTGCTAACACTTTCTCTAAATTCGTCACCCTAATTGCTGCCGGCGGGGATAAAAAATGCTGCCTTACGCCACCATCGACGAGGCCGCTGCCGCGCTCGGCAGGAACCTCACATTCGCGGAGACCTTGTGGTTCAATTACTCGGCTAACAAGTCCGATTACTTTCTCTACTGCCACAACATTCTCTTCCTCTTCCTGATCTTCTCCTTGGTGCCTTTGCCTGTCGTCTTCTTGGAACTCGCTCGATCTGCTGGTTTCGATGGGTACAAGATTCAACCTAAAGTCAGGCTTTCTTTCGAGGAGATGTTCAAGTGCTACAAGGACGTCATGCGCATGTTTTTTTTGGTTGTGGGTCCCCTGCAGCTTGTGTCTTATCCTTCCATCAAGGTAAGTTTCCTTTCCGTATTTGATGGCCTTGTTAATCTTTGTCGCCAGATTTGATTGAGTTTTGGCTACTCGGTAGTCTTTAGAATTGATTAGAGTAGCGTATTTTGGGTGGCATTGTCTGGAAATTTGATTTTGGAAATGAAATTGATTAGGAAATTACTATTCGTTGGGCTCCTCTGGACTGATTTCTGTGAATTACAGATTTTTTATAATGACATTTATTGGTTTTCAATTATTATTATTATTATTTTTGAAGTTCTGCCTTGAAAGGGGCGGGGGGAAGGGGGTCTGGGTAGTAATTTGCAATTTCTTATGGAGATGTGAGGGAATTTTTGGATTCGAGTTTTTTTTTTTCTCTTTGGAGGCAGAGTGATGGGATTGTTTTGAAAGAGTCATCTGTCTAGAATTAGTTTATTTTCTAATCTCTGCGGTGGGGCTTTCAGGGGGTTTGACGATTTAATATGTGCCTATTTCTTTCTGCATCTTATTTGGTACTTTTTTGGAATAGATACTTCTTTATTTTCCACTAGCTGTCTTTTGGGTAACAATTCCCCATTTTCAAGTTTCTATAAGATACGCTTGCCATTTGAATTCTTTGATAGATTTTTAACTTCACAGTTATTAGGTAAACATTATTCAATGTGTTTGTTCCGAAGTTGTAATAGTCGTATGAAGTGAATTTGTAATCACATAGTATTGCATTGACAGATGATCGGCATAAGAGCAGGGTTACCATTGCCATCAGGATGGGAGATTTTGTCGCAGTTGGTGGTATATTTCATGATAGAGGACTATACAAATTACTGGATCCATAGATTTCTGCATGGTAAATGGGGATATGAAAAAATTCACAAGGTTCACCATGAATATACAGCTCCTATTGGATTTGCTGCGCCTTATGCACATTGGGCAGAAATTTTAATACTTGGAATCCCATCTTTCCTTGGGCCAGCTATTGCTCCTGGGCACATGATCACGTTCTGGTTGTGGATAGCTTTACGGCAAATTGAGGCAATTGAGACCCACAGTGGGTATGCATATTACACCTTTTTTTAATTGCCTGCTTTAGTTGATTGTGACTAGCCGTTGTGTTCATTTAAAAAAAAAATTGAAAAAGATTGTGACTAACAGTTGTGTTCATTTGAAAAAAAAAAGAGTGTGACTAACTGTTGTCAGCTTTAGAATTTTTCAGAACCTCTCGTTTATTAGGGAACTTCATATAAAGTACCTGAGTTTGTAGGATTGCTGGTACCAGCTTATATTTTGTGGATCAGGGCTAGGATGAGTTGGATTCCTTTACCTTTTCAACTCCTCACTACTTCATTTGCTTATTGTACTTCTTTTCCCAAATTATGTGCTACTATTACTACGTAAACATGTCCACTACAAACCCACAAAGAGCTGAAAGCACCCAGAACTTGCAGGTGCCAAGTCTACTAGTCCATTTTCATGGATTTTTGAGTTTGCAAAATTTTTTGTTTTTTTTTTTTTCTTTGCGGCTTCCTTCATCCAATGCTGTTACTCTACTCTAAATTAATATCAAAAGCTTTTTCCTCTTATTTCCTTTATCTGCATGAAACTTGTAAATTCACACTGTTTGTGACTGAAGGATTACAATAAGTTCAAATGGTTCATAGTTGTTGAATGACTCTAAATTTGACTAACTTTGTGATTGAACTATGTTTGACTCGTATCACCTTTCTCTAGCATTGTTTATTTCTGGCTCCAGTTTTTGCTCACAGGTTCTGAGTGCCTTGCTTCTCATGATATTTTTTTTAATAAAAAGATTAAGCTGGCCACTATGCGGAAGAATGCCGCACCCATTATCACTTTTAGAAGTTAGTTAGAGGGTAAAGAATGAGAAGATGAGAGATGTAATTTTAGAAAATCTTCTCAATAACCAGAAGTTGTTGCTTAAAACAAGAGAGACTAAAAAGCTGCTTAAACTTGCGCAATAGGGATTGTTGTCCTGTGCAACAGTCTAGCATAGACCTTTACAAAGTAATTATACATGTTGGGTGTTAAATTTTGGTTGCATACGGGTGAAATGTTAGTGCTGGTTTTTTGGCTTTACAGGCATTCTAAGAATTGCCATAACAATCATTACAGCATAGAGATAGACCAAAAAGAGGCTTAAAAATTGTTGAAATCCTATTTGAGTTTTATGAATGAGAAGAAATTGATTTATAAAGATTAGTTTCTTTGTGTTTATATGACATTATGCGTCCATATTTGGTCCTCATTATGTCATGTGCGGTTGTATATAACACTTTATCTTATACTATTC